ACTCTTTCCAGTAGTTCCCAGTGACAGGATGAGGGGCAATGGGCACAAGCTGGAACGTGGGAAGTTCCATTTCAATACGAGGAAAAGCTTATGGTGAAGGTGACAGAGCCCTGGGACAGGCTGCCCAGGGAGGTTGTGGAGTCCCCTTCTCTGGAGATATTCCAAACCTGCCGGATGCAGTCCTGCCTGCACCTCTTGCTTCTGTTGAGGGGAAAATATCTGGCCAAAAATGAGGCAGCATCCCTCCCTGCAGCCAGGCTGACACAAACCAGATGGGCAAAACCAGAGAGACACGTGGGCTGTCCCTCTGCAGCCCCGTGTGTCCCCAGAGGTGCCTCCTGGGCTGGGGAAGATCGGTGTGAAATTACTGCATCTTCATCAGCCTCTGCTCAAATGAGCTGGGGGGGTTGGGGGAATAAAAAAAGAGGAGTTTCTGCTCCTGTTGTGCTGTTCTGAAACCCTGAATGTGCCTGATGTGAATAACCAGCAAGGAAACTCAGTTATTGGGTAAATAACCCAGTGTTGGATTCCACAAAGCCAAGACTGGATGAAGAGATTGGATATGGTAGAGGGTTGGGTTTTTTTGATGTTGCCTGGATATCTTTATGCTTATTCATCCATAATCCGTAGTGCCGAGTAGGAAAAACAAGGCTTGAATGCTTAGAGCTGTTGAAAAACACACACACACACACACACAGAGACACAACAAAACCCTCCTCTGGGCTGAAGCTCCTCGGGTGTGTTGGCTCCTCTCCAAAGCACTCAGCTCCCACAGGAATATATCCATCTCCCCCCGGAGTATGGGTGGCATGACCTTTCCAGGCTGTCTTCATGGACGGGAATCGGGACAAGGGATGAGAACAGAGAGTCCAGAAGAAAGGAAGAGAAAGAAAAGAAAAAGAAAGGAGAGGGGAAAAAAAGGAAGGGAAAAAATAGAAAAAGAAAGGGGAAAAGAAAGAGAGAGAAAAAGAGAGAGAAGAAGAAAGAGAAGAAAGAGAGAATTGAGAGAGAGAGAGAGAAGGAAACAGAGAGAAAGAGAGAAAGTGAGAAGAAAGAGAAAGAGAAGAAAAAGAATTGAGAAAGAGAGAGAAAGAAAGAGAAAGAGAAAGGGAGAAAGAAAAAGAATGAAAGGGAGAAGAAAGAGGAGACAAAGAGAGAAAGAGAGAGAGAAAGAGAGAAAGGAAAGGAAAGGAAAGGAAAGGAAAGGAAAGGAAAGGAAAGGAAAGGAAAGGAAAGGAAAGGAAAGGAAAGGAAAGGAAAGGAAAGGAAAGGAAAGGAAAGGAAAGGAAAGGAAAGGAAAGGAAAGGAAAGGAAAGGAAAGGAAAGGAAAGGAAAGGAAAGGAAAGGAAAGGAAAGGAAAGGAAAGGAAAGGAAAGGAAAGGAAAGGAAAGGAAAGGAAAGGAAAGGAAAGGAAAGGAAAGGAAAGGAAAGGAAAGGAAAGGAAAGGAAAGGAAAGGAAAGGAAAGGAAAGGAAAGGAAAGGAAAGGAAAGGAAAGGAAAGGAAAGGAAAGGAAAGGAAAGGAAAGGAAAGGAAAGGAAAGGAAAGGAAAGGAAAGGAAAGGAAAAAGAAAGAAAGAAAGAAAGAAAGAAAGAAAGAAAGAAAGAAAGAAAGAAAGAAAGAAAGAAAGAAAGAAAGAAAGAAGAAAGAAATAGAAAAGAAGGGAGGAGAAGGAAGAAGGGAAAAGAAGGCAAGAAGGCAGGAACACAGATATCACTGCAAACAGTCTGGGCTGTAGTAACTCCAGATTTACAGTTTAATGAAATTTTGCAAGGGTCAGAGACTTGCAAGCTGAATTCTCTGCTTCCCATCCCAAACTTCATTCAGCCTGGGCCCTCTGGTATTACCTGGCTGGTTAACATATTTATCATTCCAGGCTGCAACAATCCCGTGAACCCCCTACATCTCTCTAGAGAGGGATTGAAAACTTGCTTTCTTTTTTTAATAATCACATTTAATTAAAAATGTGGTGATTATCCAGCCATGACTTTGCAGGGGAAAGTTCAACGTGCTGGCACACAGCTCCTCCCTCCAAATCTCTCCCGGAGGTCCCTCCAGCACAGGGCAGGCTGGGGGACCTCGGTGGCCCTGGAGAAGGACCAAGGGGTTCCCTTCCCTGTGATGAGTTTCAAGAGCTGCTGGACCTCCATCTGCCCAGGGAGAAGATGGGCAAGGGGTTTGCAGCAGTTCTGCCCAGCCCTGCCTGGGTGAGCACTGCTCTCAGGATCACTGTCATCCTGTGGATTTGGGCAGGGAATAACCCCAGCAGAGGGATGAGCCACCCAGGTCCCTCCTGCCCTGCTACATCCTAGAAAGCCTCACGTGCTGGAGGCCCCCTTGTGTGACAGAGGAGGGCAGCAAGCAGGGGAAAAGCCCCTGTGCTTCAGGCTGTCCCCAAAGCCAGTGAGCCTAGGGCTGTCACCTACCCCGTGGGGACATGCAGCCCTATTTGCTGTCTCTTGGGCATCCCTCTGAGGCTTCACCAGCTCATCAGGATGATGGAGCCTCCTTTGTATGTCCAAGGGGACAAGAGACCTGCCCTCTGTCCTGCTTAGAAAGCAGCAGCACTTCTGCTCTGAACCTCCCCAGTGAGGGATTTGCCCAACAAGTAGCATCTCTCCAGGGGTCCTCTCCATCCCTCTTCTATGCCTGGTCCTCAGCACCCAGAGCTCCTTGATCAAGAGATCCCAGAGATCCTGGCAGTTTTAGGTGTGCTCAGCTCCAAGGGACTTGGGACCCCATGAGATGGACTTCATGATTTTAAAGGTCTTTTCCAACGAAAACAATTCTATGATTCTATGAGAGCTTCAGAAAGGTGGAGCTGGGAACAGTGATGCCTCTGCCCCAGAACCCAGAGGAGCTGCAGTGACCAACAGCCCAAGAAGTACCTCCCTGCTCCCAAAAGGGCCCTGGACTCTCCCCCATAATGGCTCCTGCCCTCCAGGCTGCAGCATTTCTGCACCCCCAACCTCTTTCCCATTACAGCCCTTCCCTGCCAGCTGCTGGGGCTGCTCTCCTCCAGGTGGGATCCAACATCCCCCACAGGACCTTGCCTGATGAGGTGGGGGCTGTGGAAAACCCTCCCCAGCCCTGCAGGGAGAGAGGACAAGGTCTCCAAATCTCCTACCTGCCAGGTGGGATCGGCGTGTCGGAAGTAGCAGAAGTTGTCTGTAATCCACTTGTAGATGGCTGAGAGGGTGATTTTGGGCTTCCCACTGGCTTCCATGGCCATGCAGATGAGGGTGGCATAGGAGTAGGGTGGCTTGACGTGCGGGTTGGTCTTGTAGTCCACGTCCTCTGGCAGCTGAGGGCAGGTGGGCACGGTGTGCTGCACCCCCCTCGGGGTGGAAGAGGAGATGGGGTTGCAGGGAGTGTGGGGGACCCCCATGCACGCCGGGTCAGCAGCCAGGGGGGAGCAGGGGGCAGCAAAGCTGGGGGTCCTGTGACGCTCGAGGGGGTCTGGGATCCACGGGGGCCTGGCCATGTTGGTGTCCTTGACAGAGAAGTTCGTCAGCCACGTGAGGCTGGTACGGCTGTTGTCCAGCCCAGCCGAGTGACTCTTCCTGCCCTTCCCGCTGTTGTCGGGCCACCCCTCAGCCATGCCTCGGGTCCTGCCTCCCAGGGCTGCACGGGAAGAGGAAGGAGGTGACAGGGCAGAGCCTGCAAGAACCACAGGGAGAGGGTTGAAGCTCCCCAGGGCACAGCCTCTCTCCTTCACCCCAGCAGGGCTGGGGTGCTGCAGTTCCTGGGTGCTCCAGGTGCTGCTGGGTGAGCCCCATCCCCTGGATGCTGAGCACCCCATCCCCCCGGCAGGCTGGAGCTGCCCAGCAGCCTCCTGCTGGAGCGGGAAAGAAAACAAAACCACCAAACCCAAAAAAAACCCTCAAACAGCTGCTGTCCCACCAAGGGAGGATGTTTCTCACACCCGCCAATAGCAGGACAAAAATCTTCGGATCCAGCACCTCGACAAAATCTCTTCCAAGTCCCCCCTGCCGCCCACTCCCCTCGGGTTCAGGCGGTTCCTGCTCCACCCGGTGCCCCTAAAACA